GAAGTGTTAAATGCACCCTTCACCCGTACCTGCTTCGTTTCCAATTATTAGTTTGTAATATATTGACATATATCTCGCGTACCCCTGTACAAGATTCTATAATAACGATAATAGTACCATATAATAATATATAATGACTATAATAGTTTAGGAATGAACGCTCTTGTAAAAGTTTTAATGAAATGTCAATTTTAAAAAAAAAAAAAACGATCGTATTCACAAGGTCTGCATTTAGAATGCCTTGTTCTAAGTTTACAAAACTTAGTGTTTTAGGTAAAACACAACAGTGCAGATTGCTTTTTTTGTTTGTAAACAGTAACCTCGTTTCCATTGGCCTCAAATTTTGTCTTAAATTCGACCAGTACACGCCACACTCAAATACAAGCTGGCTACATGTACATTTAATTCAATTGTGCCACTAGACCAAAGAGATTGAAATAATTATGAAGTTCATACAAGGCTAAACCTGCACATTTAAGAGAATTATGGTGTTACTTTTTACATATATATACCCTGCGAAATTTCATTTTTAGAAATTGGAAATGAACTTCTCGGGTTATACACAACGGCTGTATCTGAGAAAAGCGGCTGCATGAGATTAATTAAATATGATTACCTATCAGGTAGAGGCCTAATAATATTATGGAGCTAATTCTTTCTCGCATGGCTATGTCGTAACATTTAGATGACTTCAACTGTCGGTAAGATTTCACTGACTCCCTACTTCTCGATATCCATGCCACTAATGCAAACGGCCACTTGTTAGTTTTACTTCATTTCTTCACTGAAGCGGAAAAAAAAACAGCCATCATATGCGACCAGACCGTTGGACCAGGCGTTCGACATTCAACGCGTTGTTGTTTTGAGCGTGGTAACCACGAACTTATGTGTGTTTAAGATACGTGAAGTGCATGCGCTACCATGAGTTGTACGGGTGTGGAGGTAGATCCTTAGGAAATATACTGTTTCCAAAGAGATTCTTGTTATGATGGAATCTAGCCTCTTCCTGGCGTTCAGTTAGTTTTTCGCTCGCCAATTTTCGCGCTGCGCCCCAAATTAACTGAACGCCTGCAAGAGGTTAGATGGAATCACACATGGCAGTCCGTAATTGAGAGTTGTCGTTGCCTCTGTCTTACATTCCAGTGAAGGCATTCCGCCAGACTTCCAAACCAGTCGGCTATTTGATTATCACTATTTACACACGGCACAGGATAGATGGACGTCGTAATATGGATACTGAAAAGTAGAAACATTCAGAGAAAACGTTTTCTTTTGGAAGTTAAAAACTGCAGTCAGTTGAAGGTCGTCTGGTCGCCTTACTAGTTATGGTAGGTCGTAACTATGCAAGTCCAGTTCTATTTCGTGCAGCTTGTCTCGCAACAATGTAAGTGTCTTACTGCAATTGCATGGTGGTAGAACTATAGCAACCGACTTTTATAATTATACTGAGTAGACATTTCCGTCTACATGGAAAATATATAGTACATCCTATATTATGTGAACACAGGCGACTGAAAGCCAAGAATCCTAAAACTAGAAAAGAATATTACTTTTCTTCTACCATCTCGCAAGTTAGCTGAAATCTGTAAAAGGCCAAAAATAGCAGGGGCTTGCGGTACGTTGAAGTGTCTTTTTTGGCGGGGAAAAATTCCACAAGTGAAGTCAATGGGTTAAGGGCCCATTAACCGATTCATGCGCGCGCTCGCACGCGTTGCTAAGGAGGTGAAATTTCACTTCCGGTCACTTACGTCAGCCTGAGCGCGGAAAATAAAAACAACTCAAAAACTTGCAAATTTGCTTACATTTTAGA